AATCACATCATGGGTTTGTATGTTTCTAAAGTCGCAGCCAAAATTGGGATGGATGTACTAACATAAACCACCTTTGTAGTTATCTTGTTAAGACACAAGTTGCATTTATTTATTTCTTTAATAAGGAAAGTAGAGAGCTACAACAAAAGCCAAGAAAGCATAAAAAAATAATCCTGTAGTACGTTTCATTAGACCAAACCGGAAAAGATTGTGTCATATCTTTGAAGAATGTTATAATGACTGGTCAAAACTATAAACTCAAATAAAAATGTCACAATATCAAAAGATGTTCAGATGTGGTTCAAAGGCTGTCGAAAATTTAACAACTAACTTTTACTCATTAAAAATATAAATAAAATAGAGAAAATTGTATTAATATCTGAATTGATTGGACCGACACCAGAGAACATTATAAAAACAGATCAAAATATTCGAATAGAAAGAAAATGAAATATTAGCCTAATCAATACAAACTACATTTTTGCTAAACATGGGAAGTTGTAGGTTTTGTTAAGTCTACACCTGCAGATGACTGTTAGCCGGTCCTTAGACCAGGGTCCTGTAGAGCCGCTGTCCTGCAGGTTTTAGAGGTTTCTCTGCTTTAGCACAGCTGATTATGATGATTGCAGTTGAGCAAAAGCCTGTTAATCAATTAAAATCAACTGTGCTGGAACAAGGTAACCTCTAAAACCTGCAGGACAGTGACCCTCGTTTATCCACTTTACCTGCCTTAAACCAATAATCATCTCCTGTTTCAACCTGCAGAGGTCTTCTCATAAATCCTCTCCAATTTTAAAGCGTAACCATTCAACTATTCTTAACACCATAAAATCTACATCCTTGTCTTTAAATCAATGTTTAATTGATCATTATTCTATTCATTGGTGTACTTTTCTATAAATCCACCAGAAACGTAGGATTTTCCCAGCAGCACTCATTTATTCTCAATCCACGCAGTGACTCACTCACCATCACTTTAACTGTCTACAGTTTTAGACGTTTGAAGTGAGTTGTAGTTCACTGAAAACCATTGGTGACAGTATACTGGATGACTAATTCAACACAGTTTATATTGTTCTCTGGGAAAGTAGCTCCCATAGCAACTCCAATAGACAGCTCCCTTCTCTGTATCTTTGATCACTATTCTTTCATCTTTTGTGAGCCTGGCACTGGCACAAAATTGCAGCTTAGTGTGATATATGACATTCCATCTTGGCAGCGTATGAAAAATAAATTAGATTTCCCTACACCATTTCCTGATCAGCTCCTTTACCCCCCTCCACCACCACCAAGGCCTTTCCCTCCCGTATTCACACCTGCCTCTCTTCTTCCAGCCCAAACATGTGAAAACCCGACTGCTAGACAAACAGAGAGCGTGTTGGCATCCAGCAACACCCAGCAGGTTTCAAGCTGTAGACGTCATGGATTCATTTCTTTTAGTTTAAATCTTAAATACCACAGAGAAAACCAGGCCCTTTATTTTAAAAATTGTGCTTAAGAATAAATTAAGAAATCTATTATATATTTTCTAAAACATTATTTTGTCCTTAAAATTACTCTCTTCTTCAGCTTGCATAACTGGCATTTATAAAATACCAAAAGTACATTCATATATATATATGAGGTGCACAGAAATAAATGTAAGAAAAACATTTTTGTAACCCTGATTGAGTCCTATGTGGTTCTGTTCTTTTCAGTTATAGTTACAGTCATTTTGATTTAGCTCAAAGCTTAATATGAAATTTAGATTCATGAAAAACATGTTCTAACATCCTCACACCTATGAACTCAAGTAACTTATTTAATTTGTGTTCTCTTCATCCTTTTCTTGATCACTTGTTCGAGAAAACAACAAAGTAAGGGAGAAAAGAAAGAAAGCAATGTTAGACAGGAGAGGCGGATAGAGGAAGGATTAAATGATTACATGGTTATTAAAAAAAAATAATTAAAAAAAGAAAAAGGATCCATTAACTTATAGTTAATACTGAACTCAGATCTGCCTCCTGAATTTTAGAAATGAAATTATCCTCCAAATATCATAGTTGACAGGCTCATAACAATGATTTCCTTCAACATTCACTCAACATGTTGCCCCAACATCTTTTATTTAACAGAACCGTGGTCATAAGATGGACTCTCCCCTAAAATGTCATAATGAAGCGAGTTTATGGCAAAAAAATAATTTTTAATCAATGTCTGTAGAGTTATTGTTGCGAGACTCCCATATAACCACGCAGAGATGATAAACATGCTGAAAAATAAAGGTAACAGTTGTTTTACTGAAACATAGTTCTAATAATTTGAGAACAAATTTATTTATTAATATGTCAGACTTGTGGAATCGTAAGATAAAAGAGGAACCTAATTAGAATAATACATGATGGATTTCCCAAGACATCGCAAAGAGAGAAATTATACCTTTATGGACTGGAAATTTGTTGGTTCGCCTTTCTGAGTCAAAAATAATTTATCTGGCTTCAATCAGTGTGCTATCGAGAAAAAAAAAAAAAAAAAACTTTTCAAGCTTCTGGTTCCTCCTTTAGTCAGAGGGAAATCAGTAAAAGCTTCAAAGAGACAAGAAGGATCCTTTTATGGAAATCTAATTGAAATAAGTGAATAAAATTGTACACCACCACATCTCATAGTGAAATACCTACAGAGTCAGAGAGGGGTCAAAATGTTTGCAAACTTATAAATCTTAGTAGAAACAAAAAAATAAAAGTTGAAACAAGAAAAATATAGCTTGATATTGAATGTGAAATTTTTACCTTATAATCTGAGAAACTAAAAAAGCAAACGTAAAATAATGAGAAATAAATCTAAATTCTTCCCCTGAGCTTGAAAAGACTCATAAATCAGTTTAGTATTTTAATTAAACTTTTTTCTTTTTTTATTTCTTTTCTTTATTGCAGTTTTAGATTTTATATGTTCAGATTCAAATCCATTTCTTTCAGTTTATATATTAGCATTCCCTTTTCAGTCTTCATTTCAAATCAGTTGTTTTCAAATTTAGATTTTATTAAAATTAGGGTTCGGGTTAGATAAAAAAATAAAATAGAATATTTAGATTTTGACCCCAATCTGACAGGTGTGTGTGGGGAAATGTAGCTGACAGCTTGCAGCAGCACTGGAGCGAGTCCCGTTCCATGTTGCATTCATGGACTGTAGGTATCAGACCAGTTGAGCAAGTTTTTTGTATACACTCTGTTTATACAAAGTAACAATAAATGTTGCCTAATATCTACTGTAAGTCTGCAGCGCTGCAGAAAGCTGTCAATCATGTTTCCCGCCCACTCCTGTCAGAGTTGGATCAAAATCTGAAGGTGAAAAAAAAAAAAAGATTTTAAAGCGTAAAAAAAAAGTCCTGAAACTGAAAAAGAAATTTGAAAAAAAAAAAGAAAACCTGAAAGATTGGATGTGAATCTGAAAATATAAAATCTAAAAATGCAATAAAGAAAGGAAAAAAAAAAGAAAAAGTGTAATTAACATACTAAACTGAATTTAGATTGAATTTTTTTTTTAGTTTTTCTCATTTTAAAGTAAAAAATTGAGATTAAATATTAACTTCTAGTTTTTTCAGTTTCAATTAAGATTTACAATTTTACAAACATTTTAAAGCCTTTCTGACTTCACCTAATAGTTACCTTATTAAGACCGATCTCTTCTAACTGTTCACTCGCGCCTGGATCAGGATTGCTTCCTGATTTAACCAATGTTTAGTTTTTGCACAGGATTTAACTGAGAACGATTTGCACGCTGACAAGGAAAAGTTTATTTTGTACATCTAGAAGCATAACAAGTTCTTTCCTCTCTTCTCTGGAGAGAACAGGCAGAAAGCATCAAAAGCATGCGCACACTCTTGATCACATTAGATCCATCATGATGCAAAGTGTGCATGAAGAAAGTAGGACGGCTTTCACTGCAGCTTAGAACTCACACTTCTTTAGAACACAGACATTATCATTAACAGATAAAGCAACGTGACACACTACTTCACTTCATACATTCATGTCAGCTGCTGGTTCATTTCAAATTTCCCAGGAAATCGTTCAGGGCAACACATCTTTCTTACCATTCACTTTTTAATGCAAAGGTTCACTCTGATCTGATGCTAGAGGGACATTAGATCTTCTTTCATTTAAAAACAAACATTTGATACCGCCAGTGCAATAAGAAGCTAAAATGCACTTATAATGGGATTGTTTCATGTTCATCTAAGGGTTATATTTATTTGAACTGCTCTTTTTTAAGGGAGAAAATCAATATACTACATTAAACCTCAGAAGCTTGATTACTGCAAAAGGTGTGAGTTCACATTTATTAAGGGCCTTTGAACAACAGACATAAGTTATTATGATGAATGGATGCTAAAGTTTGAGGAGAATTTAATAAAGATTCCATGTAATTAAAACCAACACTGCTTGAAATCTTTTATATCTCAGTTTTTTTTTTTTGTATATAAAACTCTTGGTTTAATCACAAATGCATATTCCACTGCTGTATTTGTATTAACCTTAAGCTTCTGCCCCCGTATTTGGTCTGTTATTCAATAATTTGGAAAAACAGAATTATATGGGGAAAAAAATATGTTTTATTGGAACATTTAGCAGATGCGCTGGAGGATCTGGATGTTTTTAACAAGATTGAATCATATTTTTCTTCTAAAAACCATGTTGAAAATGGCCAGCAACTGATGGAGCATTGTAAAAAAAAAAATTGGACAATATTTCCTTTGTAAAATAAGATTTATAATTTTTAAACAGTTTAATTAACTGTTGAATCATTATTGCACAGTTTTTCTATTTTAGATTTAGTTTTGTAAAACATTTACTGACAGTATGAGTTGTTTTATTGGTTATAATCATATATCTAATGAGAGAAAATAAGAATAAATCCTACAAACAGAGAGTCTCACATTTAATCAGACCTCAGGTTCTATGAAAGTCATTTGTTATGAAAGTGATTTGAAGCTTCATGATGTCAACAAAAAACCTCCTTACCTATTTTGTGGTATATAGTGCCATATGGTCCCTCAGAAAAACCTCCTGGCCACACATTCACAGTCTGAGCGCCGGAGGAACACTCAGCCTACAGAGAGGAGATAAAAGAACTCCGTTCAAAGTCCACATCTCTTTTACATGAACATGTTGGTGGGAAAAGTGTAGAAAATGAAAAGGTCAAGTGCCGATCCTTAGCAGGTGAATACTAAAGCAGCCTTTATGCATTAACAAATCACTTGATGTCTTACAAATGTGACCTTTGTGACTGTTAGTAATTCTTCTTTCTGACACATTTAGAAAACTGAGCTCTCTCCTCAACATGCTAAACAAAACAGCCGTTATTATATGTCTCTGCCGAGGGCAAATCTCACTAAGCCACAAAACCTTTTAAAAATTCAGACAGCAGTGCTATGATTTGGAGTGAATTATGTGCTTCTCAAACAAAAGCAGGGTGAAAAGAGAGAGGGAGGGGAATAATAAGGCTTTAAGGAAAATTATTGAAATTTAGCGCAGCGGGGTGTTTATGCTTGGCTTTGGCTCCCAAGTGACATAATAATCTCTTCAATGACTTGACGAACGTTATTTGTCTACTGTTCTGATTTTTCGCGGCCAGTCTTTCCTACGAGCTGTTTTTCTTTCTAAACACGCAACGGGGGGGCGGCGTTACTTGTTTGCATTAGAAATTTGTGTGGGAGTCAAAGTGTGGGTGCAGATGCCTTCATGTCAGCGAGGACATGTAAATTGTGCTTCATGTGTAAGGAGCCATAAAATGATGCATGAATTACAAAGATCAAGAAAATACAATAAGAGATCTGGTTTCACAGAAACACAGGATTCAGTCTTTATTATTAATATTGATAAAACTATCGCTGTCACAGACATCCAGACTCCTGCCCGTTTCTGCCCCTTATGTCCAGATCACTGCAGATCTTCCAGATCAATGGATGTTTTGCCTTTGAATACAAAAAAAAAACAGTTTTTGGTTTAAAGAAGCCAAATGTTTGAATTTTTAGTTACTAAACCAAAAGTATCAAAGGAGCCAAAAATCATCAGGCTTTATTAATGTAATTAGGCATTACAATAATTTCACAAGTTAAATAGAAACAATTAACAATAAAGAAATTAATGAACAGGCATGAATTCAAATTTTTAGATAGATGTGTAAACAGAGAATCCAATCATACATGATTTATTGGAAAAACTTTATGATTAAAATACAGATAGGCAAACAAATTTATACAATACCAGACAAAGCATCAGAAACTTAACATATTTCAAAGAGTAAAATTAGTTATATGGATTAATAATGTAAATTAATAACCTCAGTAAGTAAGTAAAATGCATTAAGGCAGAAATATAAACTTATAGTAAAGGTCATTCTACTAAAATACATATATTTAAAATATACAATAATTTTAAGAAGAAACCTGATTATGAGAATTAAAGTAAATAAATAAATGTGATGAATAGCATACTTACAAAGAATAGTCAAAATAATATGTAAACAAATACAAAACATACTCAATTAAATAAGTAGGAAAAAAAAACAATCAATAAAAAATACAGAGAGTTAAAGTATAAAAAAATAACATGTAAATATAAACATTTATATTAAAGTAGTAAAAAAGCTCTGATCAGCTGAAATGAAAGAAGATTTAAAACCAAATTAATAATAGGAAAGCAAACAAAATGGTACAAATATTTAATTCAAGAAAATAGAACATGCACACATTTGAATATAAAATGTTTATCAATTTAGAATCAGGTAAATTGGGAGCAATTTATTCATTAGTTTAAAATGTTTTCATTGCAGAGTTTCAAAAAGATCAAGATTAGCATTTCCCACTGACTTATTTCACACATTAACATAATCAGTTCTAATCTTTATTACTTGATAACACATTAAGGTAAAGGTTTGGAAACAGCTTTTTCTAAGTGCCGTTTGACCAAAAGTAAAACACACTTTACCAAAAATGATGTCGATTTATACAGACTACAATGATTGGGGAAAGTAAGGAGTGTAATACTGATTATTTTCAATTCCCCTCTTTTATAGAGTTGTTGTTATCCTCTGGGGATTAACAGTCACAGAATGCAAACAACACATTATCGTTCCTCATCTTCATTAAGATTCCATTTAAAGCTGCTGCTTTGTGCATTAACCTGCTGCGATGCACATTCAGGCTTACAAAATGATTGTGGGAATTGAGACTTTAAAAGATGCCAGGAGAGCACAGTTTTATTACAACACAACAACACTATTAATCACATTCGCAATGCATTTAAAATCTGTTTACTCTTGTCTGGCACTATCATTTTGATCTTCCAGGGTTTAATTTGCAAATATAAGCTTGTTGTTTGGGCTGTAATTTGCAGCTTTTAAATCAGAAAGGTTCTGAGGAAACCAGGAGGGCATGTGCAGGCTGTCTGAGCCACTTTACGATACGGAACTTGGAATATTTTTGGCCCAGTTCTACATATTCGTTGGTCTGAGGAGATCTGTGAATAAACAGCCTCTTGTAGGTAGAAAGGAAAAGCACGGAAGTCGACCGTTAGTTTGACAGTCAGGCAAAGACAGGTTGGCACACCGCTCTTTATAACCTCAGCAGGTGATTAGCTGATAGGTGGCAGGTGTGAATGATCAGGAGCCAGCTACCACGCCCACCAGTAGAGATCAACAATCCTGCAGCAAACTAACACTGTATTAAAATATGCATCTACTCTTTAAAGCTGTAACTGAGGAAAGTTGCTTCCAAAATAAACCATCTTTTAAATTACAAATTTGTATGGAAATATGGACAGTTTTCTTATTTTGCTGAAATAATTAGGTCCTAAGATTTCTAGTAACTTGAGTTTAACAAGAATGAATTTCATACTTCTTTAACCCTCTTAGAAATAATTTTAATGTCATCAATATATATATATATATATATATATATATATATATATATATATATATATATATATATATATATATATATATAATCTTTTTTCAGCAAGTTTTGTTGTAATTTGCATTTTCCCCTTCTCTGTCTTTTTCTCAAGCTTCTTTTCCGAACATACGGCTTTACGATCAACCAGAAGCAGTTCTGCACAAACACTCGGCTGGAGTTATATCTAATATATCAGATGAAATTATTTTCATAAAAGTTTTTATATATATATATATATATATATATATATATATATATATATATATATATATACTCACCGGCCACTTTATTAGGTACCCCATGCTAGTAACGGGTTGGACCCCCTTTTGCCTTCAGAACTGCCTCAATTCTTGGTGGCATAGATTCAACAAGGTGCTGGAAGCATTCCTCAGGGAGTTTGGTCCATATTGACATGATGGCATCACACAGTTGCCGCAGATTTGTCGGCTGCACATCCATGATGCGAATCTCCCGTTCCACCACATCCCAAAGATGCTCTATTGGATTGAGATCTGGTGACTGTGGAGGCCATTTGAGTACAGTGAACCCATTGTCATGTTCAAGAAACCAGTCTGAGATGATTCCAGCTTTATGACATGGCGCATTATCCTGCTGAAAGTAGCCATCAGAAGTTGGGTACATTGTGGTCATAAAGGGATGGACATGGTCAGCAACAATACTCAGGTAGGCTGTGGCGTTGCAACGATGCTCAATTGGTACCAAGGGGCCCAAAGAGTGCCAAGAAAATATTCCCCACACCATGACACCACCACCACCAGCCTGAACCGTTGATACAAGGCAGGATGGATCCATGCTTTCATGTTGTAGACGCCAAATTCTGACCCTACCATCCGAATGTCGCAGCAGAAATTGAGACTCATCAGACCAGGCAACGTTTTTCCAATCTTCTATTGTCCAATTTCCATGAGCTTGTGCAAATTGTAGCCTCAGTTTCCTGTTCTTAGCTGAAAGGAGTGGCACCCGGTGTGGTCTTCTGCTGCTGTAGCCCATCTGCCTCAAAGTTCCACGTACTGTGCGTTCAGAGATGCTCTTCTGCCCACCTTGGTTGTAACGGGTGGTTATTTGAGTCACTGTTGCCCTTCTATCAGCTCCAACCAGTCTGGCCATTCTCCTCTGACCTCTGGCATCAACAAGGCATTTCCGCCCACAGAACTGCCGCTCACTGGATGTTTTTTCTTTTTCGGACCATTCTCTGTAAACCCTAGAGATGGTTGTGCGTGAAAATCCCAGTAGATCAGCAGTTTCTGAAATACTCAGACCAGCCCTTCTGGCACCAACAATCATGCCACGTTCAAAGTCACTCAAATCACCTTTCTTCCCCATACTGATGCTCGCTTTGAACTGCAGGAGATTGTCTTGACCATGTCTACATGCCTAAATGCACTGAGTTGCCGCCATGTGATTGGCTGCTTAGAAATTAAGTGTTAACGAGCAGTTGGACAGGTGTACCTAATAAAGTGGCCGGTGCGTGTATATAAAACATTTTAAATGCCATGATAATCACATTTAATGAATTTGAATGCCAATTAAGGCCTTATTTAAAAAAATTATAATTTAAAGACTTAATGACTTTTAATGACCCTCTGAAACCCTTTAACCAATTATTATATCATCCCCATGAAGAGGTGTGTTCAGGACGCAAAGTAATGCACTAGATGTGTTTCTAGTGACGTGGAAGCCACATTTCCCCCAGTTACAGCGACCTACAATGGAGTCAAGGTCACTGGAGAAGAAAATCTTAAATTTTGTTTTATTTCTATTTTCAAGATGACCTGTGTAGAGCTGAATGTGGCTGTGACACAGAGTGATGGAACACAGCAAAGACAAAGCTTTTTGCAATAAGAATGTAAGAAAGAAAAACATAAACGTTTTGCTGGTGGCTTTAAAAAAGCCACTTTAAGCTAACCCTGTTAAACCATTCGTTCTTATTTAGCTCTAGAGCAGGTCCTGACCAGCATCCACACTGGTGGCGGCTTTGGTGCATTCTCTGCAAGGTGTCTTGTTCCAATCTACAGAGCTGGCCCATGCCATCCTCCACCTTGCCCTTCTCTGATGCATCTCTGCCAGGGTCCTTACCCTGATCTGCTGCTCCTGTCTGACCTCCATATGCAGCCTCACCTTACCGTTGTTATCA